GAAAGAAAGAAAGAAAGAAAGAAAGAAAGAGGACTATATCTTCTTCTGGCTATGAATGCAGTAGCTTGAGGATGCAATTTCTGAAGCTACAACAGCCATATCGAAACCTGGCTATGACGAGCATTAAAATGAAGTTAGCCCAGGGAGGATGGCAGAGAAGATAGACAGAGTGATGGTCACTGATAGTGTTGAACTGCTGCACCCAAGTAGAGATGATTATCTTTAGACTTCTTGTTGTCTGAGATAATTGTCTTTAGTGTTGAAATATTAACCATTTGATAGTCATTAAATATTATATGACTTACAGTCAAATGCATTCCTATCATCTACAGACCCCCCTCCAAAAAAAGTCTGTGATAATTTAGTATATTTGTGCTAGACTATGAGCCCCTAGAAAGCAGGAATTATGGTTTGATTGTCTTGGAAACAGCAATGAACCAGCACAGTCTAGAAAAATAGTAGGCCTCAGAATGTTTGTTGTAGCATAATGAATAGCTTAGCCTCTTTGGAAAATAGTTTGGTAGTTTCTTAAGGTCATAAGCTTACCACATGACCCAGCATTTTCACGTCTAAGAGTCTACCCAAGAAAGTCACAATATATAGTCACACAAAGATTTGTACACAAATGTTCATGGCAACATTATTCATAATAGCCCCAAACTGGAAACAACCCAAATATTCTTCAGCTGGTGAACAGTTAAACAAAATATTATTTCCTTATAATGGAATAGTATTCAGGAATAAAAAAGGAACAAAATACTGAACATTCTACAAAAAGATGAACTTCAAAAACAATTGCTAAGTGAAAGAAGTCAGAGACTACATGTTGTATAATTCCATTTATATGAAGTGTCCAGAATGGGCAAATTTATAGAAACCAAAAAAGATCAGTGATTGTCTGAGTAATCAGTAATACTGGGAGTAGGACTAGGGATTTGGAGGGGAGGGGTGAAATGTTTTAAAGCTGGATTGTGAGGCCCTGGCTGGGTAGTTCAGTTGGTTGGAGCGTGATCCTGATGTGTCAAGGTTGTGGGTTAGATCCCTGGTCAGGGCACATACAGGAATCAACCAATGAATGCATAAATAAGTGGAACAACAAATCAGTGTATCTCTCTCTTTTTCTCCCTTCCTCTCTCTCTCTCTAAAAATCAATCACATTTTTTTAAAGAAAAACACTTAAAAAAAACTGGATTGCAGCAAGTGTTACACAACTCTATAAATTTACTAAAAATCATTGGATCATTCAACTTTCAATGGGAAAAATTTATCGTGTGTCAATTATACCCACTACAACTGTTAAAAATAAAAATGTGACCAGTTATTGAAATAAAACAAAAATTTGTGGAGTTATTGAACCACATAAAGCCATCCAATCAAAAATATGATATAGACAACTGTCTACCTACTACTGCACATACAGCATAAAGAGGCAAAGATGTTGCCTTCCAGTGGGTTGAGAGACATTGTTCTGGCTGACTGATTATAAGAGCTCAGTTCAAAGTGAATGAGCAGATAAAAGAGCACTGAAAGCTCGAAGTGAGAAGCAATCACTGAGAGCTGGATTTTAAGGAAGATACTCTGAAGAAGCAGAACTTCAACCGGGTTTGAAAGAAAAGGAAGTATGTGCGGCAGAACAGAAAACTGTTTAGCATATTCTGGCAGTGGAAAAACAAATTAAAGAAGAGAAAATGCATAATGTTAAGTGTTAGGTTAGGTGTTTCAGTTTTTGTTCAGAAAGGGCTATTCACAATTATTTAGATTTCAAATTTGTTAATGTTTTTGTAAGCCTTTGAGATGGACATCCAAATCCAATTAAAAATCTAATAATTGTTATGTAAAACCAGAAGTCACTTTCACATAGTCTATTATTTATGTTCAATCAACACATGTTGAACAGATTAAAATCACATAAGTAATTCTTTTTAAATACTTTAGTGAATTATATTTTATCCCACATTTTAAATTATACGTTTAAAAGAGTTGATTTTTTTGTAAGCATTTCAAACGTCTAAGCAGACACACAACCCTAACAAGTAAGACCTTCTTTGGCTCCTGCATAACTCTTACAGATTTAATAAATTATATATATAAAAATATGAATCATAACTGTTCTTAAATATCGCAAAACTGATTTTTTAAATTATTCAAATCCTATTACACATTTCTACTTAAGTCACATGTCTAAACCAAATACATATTTCAAATGAAACATGTGTAATCTCTGAGACTAAATAACAAATACAAACATATTCTTAATGATTATGTAAAATGTTCTTATATAAAGTCATAAGTACCATCATTTACTTCATTGTATTCATATTTAATTCTAAACCTTCCTGAATATCAAGACATTTGCTTAAATAATAGGGATTTATTGCCCTGGCCGGGTGGCTCAGTTGGTTGGAGCATCGCCCCACACACCAAAATGTTTTTCTCTCACATCAGTGTTTCTTTCTCTCTCTTAAATCAATAAAAATATATCCTCAAGTGAGGATTTGAAAAAATAGGAGTGAGTTTTAAAATAATAATAATAATGGAGATTTATAATCTCAGGTAGAATTAATTTATTAAATCAAAGTCCTAGGACCTTGATATAGTTACTATTGTTCAGAAATTTAAGACCAGGAAGTATGACTTGAGATCTACATCTCCATGATTTTGCTGGAATCACAAAAGGACTGTACCTTTTTTATATAAACTATGTCAACAAGCCCATGCCACTCATCTTATCAATTTTAATCACCTAACTGGGATTTCTAGAGTCCTGTATCCTCGCCCTGGCTGCAATTAACTTTCTTCAAGCTTCGATTTGATTCCATTAATCTCTTAACTGCCTCCGGGGATTCTGCAAACCTTCCTGTTCTTTTAGTTCTGCTTGGATCTTGCATGCCTCTCATGTCTAGCTCTAGACATAGCCTGCAATCTTTTTAATGACACAATTGGCTTTGCAAGGAATCTAGCCCACGGTGCCCTATTTCCTTCTAAAGAGATCTCTTGCCAAGAGCAAGTGCCAAAGAAGAAGGTCTGTAAGGTCATGAAACTGATGCCCAAGTCATGGAAAGTTCAAGATGGAAGATAACCTACAGTGTTGGAATAGTCAGAACGGAAGTCAGGCAGAGAGTGAGTTCAAGGGGGTCAAGGAAGACCTCACTGACTGGGCGGATTGACAGCAGTTGCCCGAGAGAGGGGGAGCAGAGAGGACAGCAGCTATGAGAATGTGGTCCTCAGGAGAGGGCTCTGGAAAGGGTTCAAAGGCTCTGGAAAGTTCATGATGATAAAATCCAGGGCAATGCCATGCCCTCATGTGGAAACTATGCAAGGAAGGTGTGGACATCACAGAGATTAAAAGATTTAGAAGGAGCCTAAAGTTAATGAATGAAGAGGCAAAAAGCATTAGGTAAAGTGAAGCATTAGGCAAAGGTAAAGTGAAGAAAAGAAGTTGATCCCAGAGTTCCAGATATCTAGTAGAGAGAAACCCACGGCAAAAATATCCCTGTTCGACACATTGTGGATAATCCAAGGATGTCTAAGCAACAAGGCAGCTGCCCTTTCATTTCCAGCAACATCTGAAACATCAAAATTTTTAACTAATAACAAGAACTGAGAAAATACAGTCACTTTAGAGATGGTAGTGATCATGGAATTTGATCTGCGACAACTTTAAATACAGTTTTATTGAAAATAATGTTATAAAATGTGATAAAAATGACAACCATTTTCTTTTACCACATTGAATTAATCTCATTCCTATTCAAAATTAACTTCCAAGGTTGATCTGCATTATCTTTTACATACTTGCAAATGTTTCTGAATTAGGTGGCCTTGCTTTGAACAGAAAAATTAAAATGCAATAGGCTAGGAAACTTTTCATTTCCTATTGAACTCCTAGCACAAAAGAGGAGGAAAACATATTATGTTCAACTAATTTCCCTAATCACTGTATGGCTTCATCAGCCCACCCTTAATTCAGATGTGCTTATAAATTTAGCAGAAACAAATGAAGACTAATTTAATCTGATCTTTGTTGGAAATATCGACTACATTTTGGGTGAAATTTTTAGTTCCAAACAGAGTTGCTATATTTACCAAATAAAACTACAGAATACTCAGTTAATTTGAATTACAGAGAAACAACTGCTTTTTTTGATATAAGTATGTCACAAAAAATTATTCATTGTTTATTTGAAATTCAGTTTAACTGGGTGTGTTGAATTTTATCTGGCAAGACTTGGATAGTGAGTAGAGTTTAGTGACTTGAAATCAAAGGGCCATGAACCAGGAGTATTTCTTTGACAAATACCTCTAATAAGGCTAACAACCTGATCCAAATCACTAACCTCCTTCCACTCCTCATCCTTTACTCCCACCCTTGTAATAAATGTTTTAGTTTTAGTCCATATTTTAAGCAGCCAATCAGAGAGTCGAGCGAGTAGTAACCTAGAAAAGCAGTTCGGTTCTAATAGAAAATCAATCCCTTTATCATTCAGAAGGAGACATTCCAGGTTAAAATTCTTCATTTATGTATGTCAACACTTTCAGCTAATAAGAAAATTAAGCAGCCCTGGCCGATGTGGCTCAGTTGGCTGGAGCTTTGTCTGGTACACTAAGGGTAGTGGGTTCGATTCCCGGGGGTGCTTGTGGGAGGCAGCTGATTGATGCTTATCTCTCACGTTTATGTTTCTCTCTCTCCCTCTCCCTTTCTCTCTCTCTAAATATCAATAAAGACATATCCTCAGGGGAGGATTAAAAAAAAGAAGAAAAGAAAATAAGCATAGTTTGTACATAGTTGTTACAACCTATTAAATCAGCTAAAAGTTTGCCAGTTTAATAACTAATTTAAGCCGGGCGTGGCTCAGCGGTTGAGCGTCGACCTGGGATGCAGGCGATCGGGGTTCGATTCCCGGTCAGGGCACATGCCCGGGCTGCGGGCTGCAGCCGATCAATGACTCTCTCATCATTGGTGTTGCTCTCTCTCTCCCTTCCTCTCTGAAATCAATAAAGATATGTTTAAAAAAAGAAAACGACGGAACTAATAACTAATTTATATACCATATAAATGGAAATAAGTAACAGCAGATTATTGACTTCACATTGATCATTGTAATTAAAACCTAAAATGCTCAATTCATTGTGTGTCAGCAATAAAAAAAAAATCATCCCCATTAAATGGATGTCAAATGCGTGAGAGTAACTGAAATTCCTGGAGGAGGGAGTGATGAAAGGAGACAGAATCTCCGTGATAGCAGCACAAAGCGAGGAGGCGAGGGTACAAATGATCAGCAAACGAATGTGCGTGGAGATCTGGCCGCAGCACGATGACCTCTGAAGACGGCTGTGCCCTAATCCTCAGCGCCCGATGCTACCTCGCACGGCAAAAGGGCCTGTGATTACAATGCAGATGTGATTACATTTAAGGACCTAGAAACGGGGAGATTATTCTGGATTATCTAGGTGGATGCAAATGGATCACCCGCGTCTTCGAAAGTAGAGAAACTTTTCTTGCTCTTGCTGCACAGAGCTAGAGGTGGCAGCAGGGACGGACTCCGCCCACCTTGCTGGCTCTGAAGGCACTGGAAGGGGCTATGAGCCAAGGAATGCAGTTGGTCCCCAAAAGCTAGAAAACAAGAAAAAGAATTCTCCCTTAGAGCTTGCAGAGAGAAACTCAGCACTGCCAACACCTTTATTTTAGCTCAGTGAGACTGGCGTGATAAATGTGTGTTATTTTAAATGACTACCTTTGTGGTCATTTGTAAAGGCAATAATAGAAAACTAATACATAAGGCTTGACTTTAACCACTGAGCTAAACTGGCTAGGGCACAGATACCATTTTTAAGTCACAAAATAAAATGGGAAAAGAAAAAAAAAAGGAGGATTCCAACAAAATTTTGTTTTTCTCTAGGGAGACTGTACTCTGTTAAGCATATACCAGGAATTCACATCTTTAAAGGATGCTTAAAGAAAAGATTTGGGTGTGCCTATGAATAGTTAATGTCATTTAATATGTGAGTAACCAAGCAGCAGTATCACTTTCTTATTTTTTAGAAAATTTTGTTTTATTATATTAGGTGTTTCAAAGGATCTTAAAGATAGAATAATCCAACACCATCCATTTGTCACATAAGTGCCTTTTCACTCATTCTTCGTGTGACATAGAAATGAATTGCTCTAACAAAATGAAGGCAGCATGCTTACTTGAATGGCAGTATGAATAATTCGAAGACACACTGATGCATTTATAAGCTAGAAAAGCCTTGTCTGTTGTCTGTAAAATTTCTCATGTGAAACTGAAGAAAACCCAGTCAGCAACAGAATGAACATTTAGCACTTTAATCTTAGATAATGAATTGGTTAAAGAATTTGATGGTAGGTATTAAATAAATCACATTCACCAGCGAATATAGCAGTACTGTGGCAAACATCTGACTTAAAATTCAATGTGATGCATTTGCTAACAAAGAGTGATCATGTAATTTAAAAGCATGGCTAGAAATTAACATGGTAACACTACATCTTTTCAACATTTTAAATTCTCTTCTTTATGGATAGATTCAGCATAGTTTTTAAAGAAAAGGCCCCCAAACTTGACTTCTCTCAAGTTGCCTCTCCAAGAACAGGTGATTAAATCATAACACTGTTTCTAACTATGTATGACTCTTACACATAAAATACAATATATACCAGTTGGGAGTATATTCTTTTCATGTACATCTGGGAATTATATAAACAAAACACAGCTAGTCAATGTTGGTTAAAGAAGGCATGCTTTGAACAATGTTTTGTCTACACATTGGGGGTTTCTGCTTACCTAATTTTCCTTTCTTGTTTTCATTTCTCAACATCACAAAGATTTTTCGTTTATTCTAGAGCACTCATCACGGCTCAACTTATAATTAGAAGCTAAGCATGATTCAGAATGTCCTCAATTTTTAGGCCTCCACAGCTTTGGTTACCTAGTTTACCTATGTGATGTCCGTATCAGTCAGCTAAAGTCAGCTGAACTGTGATCCTACATTGCAATGATTTTCCTCAGGAAAATGAAGATAGCTGGTCGGGTAGTCATTCTGAAGCACTTCCCTTTTGCATTTAAATCAGGTGCCTCTTAAATTCCAGCTCTTCCTTTTCTTATCTGTATTCATTCAGCAGCTGCTGAAACTGTACTATATCTTCCAAATTCTTTGGCATTTTTCTCTGCAGAATTGTAAAGCTAATATAAATCAGCCAAACATTTTTAGAGGTGGCCATAAAGGTCCGGAGGCAAATTCAATGGATTATACAGCTGCTGATGCATGATTCTGATTCAGGTCAGCTTTTAGGTAACTGCTCTCATTTGAAGGTCAAAGAAAAATCCATGTGAACTGATGCTTTCATTTGGATAAATCTGTAATAATTTGAGCCTGAAGATGTTTACTACATTTATTATAAAATATAAATATCAACACCTTCCAAAGACAACAGATGAATGCTCTGTGGCTAAAACCAACCAAGAGAAAAATTTTATGGATAGGCAGGCTGCATTGATTCCACCGGCCCTCGGGTTTTGCATTCCCTTGAGGTGTCTCCTCCGTCTGGTTGGCAGCTGGTGGAGGAAAGGTCAGAGTGACCTGCCCATTGATAAATAGCATAGAGGCAAAGTGGGGGGCTGGGAGTGGGGGAGAGCAGAGACTTAATAGTGGGAATAAAAGCAGAGGCCTCTGAGAAGATGAATTAATGGGTTCTGAATGAGAAAAATAACACTGGGGGCTATGGGAATGGCTAATATCCTAACTTTGGGTTATAATGAAATGTGGTTCATCCTTGGAATGGTTTTATTTTTACAATTTCTGATAATCTAAGTAAAGATTCCTATAATTCCAAATTTCTTCTCCAAAAGTTAAAGCATCTGTGAAATAAGTGGATATACTAATAGAGTTTGTAAAACAAACAAACAAACAACAACAACAAATATACATGTACTATTTTATACAGGGGTGGGCAAAAGTAGGTTTACAGTTGTGAGTATGCGAAAGGGCTTATTCTTGTATTATTTATTAATTATTGTATTATTTATTTGTATTATTTGTAAACCTACTTTTGCCTGCCACTATATATTATTTTAGTAATTAATTTGCAGACTTTCTCATTATTTCATTCACTCCAAGTGTAACTTGGGATTATAACTGATGGATCTATATTTAAATTCTCATCAAGTATAAAATAAACATACACAATCCACTCATTTCAGAAAGGTGATATGGATAGTATTTTTTTAAAACATCAATAAAGATCTATTTCAAATTCTCACTAAAATTACCCCACAAGTGCTGCTATTTCTAAGGTTTATAGTTTTTAAAGTGAAAAACAGGGACACTTATATAAGTTCAGTATTCCGAGTAAAGAAAGAGGTAATTTTAAATGTTTGTCTAAATTTTAACTTTAGCATGTGGTAAATTAGAGAAAAAAATTTATAGAATTTATAGATCTTTTAGTCTAATTCTCTTCATGCCACAGGTGAGGCAGTGATGTCCACTAACACTCACGTACCCAGGTTCACACTGCAAATTAAGGCCAAAGGCAGAGAGTGAATCCAGGTCTCCTAATTCCTGAGCTACCTTCCTTTCCCCTGTATCATACTTTACTAGAAAAATAATTTTAAAAAATCAGTAAACACTCTAATGCCAAGATATTGCCAGAAATGCTCCCTTGGTGATGTTGTTTTCTCCTGGTCGGTGTTCAGTACAAGTGCACTATAATTAAAATTAGACAGTAGATACAGAAGAGGAAACATATGCTGGTACAGTTACCGTATTTTGTTAATGTTTGTGTCAAACTTAGAGGAAAAACTCTGGGATTCAGCTGCCCAGATATAAGTTATATTTAAAGAAACTGCTATTCTAGGAGACTTTTTCAAGCAACAAGAGAAAAATTAGGATGTTTCATTGTCACTGTGGCAGTAGGAGGAGAAGAAATTCATCAATTACTTCATTTTTTTTTTCTTTTGGTGAAAGGAGATGACCAACATTCAACATTCAAGACTGCATACATCACTATAAGAAATTACAGATATTTTCACATTTCTTTCTTTTTAAAAAAATTTTTTTTTAATTTTATTTGAGAGAGAGAGAGGAAGCGAGAAAGAGAGAAACACTGATTTGTTGTTCCACTCATTCATTGGTTGATTCCTGCATGTGCCCTGACCGGGGATCAAACCTGCAACCTTGGCATATCGGATGACACTCCAACCAACTGAGCTACCTGGCCAGGGCTTTTCACATTCATTTCTTTTTTCATGCCCAAGAGGATTAAGAATTGCCTAGGCATATCTGTCCCCAGGGCATAGATGACGAATGAATGCAGTGATGTTTGCCTTACGGTTTTCAGACTTGATTAAATTGACTGGTGGAGTAAATGTGTGTTGTAGTTGATAGTCTTCTAAATTTGATAAAGAAAGCTATAATTACAGCCAATCTTACCTGATGCTCTAAACAAAATATTTACAGTACTCGATGAGAACATTGTGGTCCTATTTATGACCTGTAAAACAGCTTAGGAATTATAGCTTAACTGTATGCCTTGATATGATTAAATATATATTTAGCTGACTACCTAAATTTGCATGACAGAAATAAAAATGGGAGCCAGTGGGGTTTTTTTGTTTTCTTGTTTTTTTAGTTTCTCTAAGAATTACTTAAGTTTGAAGTCAAATACAATTTTTTTTCAAGTAATGTCTATGAGAGAGAGAGAAATGAGAATAAAAGATACTATACTTTTTCTCAAAAAAGGGCTTTTATAATTTTGAATAGGTGCAATATTTAGGGAACTTAAATAAACTGTACCAGAAAGAGAGTTGGAGAGACTAGAATAAATACTGTAGCTATTTATCCAGTTTAAAAATAATCAGAATTTAAATCTTTCACTTAGATTTTTTTTTCATTTTTATCATCTTTACTATCTTTACATTTTTCCTTTAATTTTTCCTAATAGCACAAATCTCTCTTCCCATGATTTGAGTCCAGTTTTCATTTTCCACCTTCAACGGAGATAGAACCATTAGGTGGGGCCTATAATACAGAAAAGTAATTACCAGCTTACAAACAAACTCTTTGTGCCGTTCAGGAGGGCTGCCCGGCTGGCGTGGCTCAGTGGTTGAGTGTCAACCTATCCTGGGCAGGGCACATGCCCGGGTTTCGGGCTCCATCCCCGGTCGGGGGCGCAGGAGGCAGCTGATCAATGACTCTCATCATTGATGTTTCTGTCTCNGGGGGGGGGGGGGTTGCCTGCAGGAGGCAGTCGATCAGTGACTCTCATCACTGATGTTTCTCTCTCTCCCTCCCCTTCCTCTCTCTGAAATCAATAGAACATTTTTTAAAAAGGAGGGCTTAGAAACACATTGTTCCTATTGAAATTGGGTATGCTGGTGAAAGTCCAGGCCCGGCAGTCTGATAGCAGACTGAGGTGTACCTTCCTCTCCTGGTCCCTTCCCTTTGTTTGGGGGTTGTTTGTTTGTTTAACTTACCATTACTGTTGAAAGTATTACAGACTCCTCCTGTTTTCCCCCACGGGCCCGTCCACCCCACTCCCACCCCGTTCTTTTTGTTATGCCTAAGGAGAAGGAACTTGCATTATTGTCACCTCCCAGTACCTTTTTATCCAATGAGAAGCAGTTAGGAGCCGGGTAGGGGGTAGTAGTGGTTTATTTTTCTCTCTGGTGAAAGTGCAGAGTAGTCATATGTAACTGCCACTTAATCCCAGTATCCAGAATTGAATTAGTTGGCCATACCCAGCTGTAATAAATAAATAAATAAATAAATAAATAAATAAATAAATAAATAAATAAAAATAAATAAAAATTAAAAAACTGCAGCCTTCCTTTGGGGCAGCCATGTGCCCAGATGAATACAAGGGTTTTATTAATAGAAAATAAATGGAAAATGGATTGGGGGGAAGAACTAGCAGTCTCTTCCACACTCCACACCACACATTCTAACAGTGTATTAATAATCAAATCAGTTGTGCCTAGAACCTGTCTTAGGAATTTCTTTAATCTTCATTGGACCCTCACTCAAAAGAACCTTATTCACAGTTTTCAAACTACTCAATTGTACTTCATTCAGAGAAAAAAATAAATTGACATCAAGGTCAATATAGAAGAAAAAATAAAATTTATAAGCATCAGATTATCTAGAAGTTACAATAAAATATGCTCTTCATATATTTTATAAGTGAAAACATAACTATATAAAGAGGTTTCACTATAGGGAAACATCTTATTTAAATTAATTTGCTTGTTATTAAATGCTTGGCTCTGATCTTTTTTCTAGTTACTAGCTGCAGGTTCTCAAAATAATATGAAGTGCTACATACAAGGACAGGACTTAGTCACAAAACTTTGCTTTGTTTGGGAATTCTAGCACTCGGCCAGTTTATTATCCTGCCAGAAGATTTCAAGGTGCTTCACAAAAGATGTACAATTACTTACCGACAGTAATGCAATCTGTGGTCCCAAGATAAGGCCTGAAAGCAGAAGGAAACAAGTGAGTCATTACAACTATTGGCTTCTATTTTTGATAAGATTATAAAGGCATGGCCTGCCTTCAGTCTTAGCGGCTTCCTATGTGAATATGCACGAAGAATGTAGGTGTGGTAAATAAAACAAAAGAAGTTATTTCAATACATTTTTACAACATCTTGCACATACTTTTAAACTGAGTTCACTGAATGCAGTATGATCTTTAAAAATACTATATTACATTAAAAATGGAAAGAAAAAGACAGCTCTTCCTATGTTTGCTAAAATAAGGTCCTGATTTGGTGTCCTCTAAATTTCTCTCTACTTGTGTTCTATGTAGTATGATTTAAATTACCTATATGGAATCTTTTTAATATTTAAATGCTTTTTTTGTTGTTTTTTTCTTTTTGGCCAAGACTGTTGGATATACAGTCACTAACATTTCTAGGTCTCTGGGCTTTGTGTAAGAGTTAGAGAAAAATTAAATAAGGATAAGCTTTTTTTCTTCAAAATTATATGCTTTTCTGACTTACTATAGTCTCAAGCAGAGAGTCACTCTCCGATCCCCATCCTTCCGATGGGTTCACAGCTTTGTCACTGACATCTTGGCCTTCCTGGCCTTTGTATATTTTTGACTTAACTCTTTTTGCCTCTGGTAAGGACACACAAAAACCTGAAGTAATGCCTTGAAAAGATGACTAATGGTCAGAACGGTAAAGACAAATCTGGGATTTCCAGAGGGGATTTTCTATGATGAGCTTAATTTAATTTTAAATTAGAGATCGCTAGCAGCGCCTAAAAAATAAATCTTACAATGAGGGTTAGTAGAAATCACAAGTACTTGGGGATGGTGAACGCACAATACAGTGTACAGTTGATGTACAATTGTGTGCCTGAAACCTGTAGAATTTTGTTAACCAGTGTCACCCCAATAAATTCAATAAAAAGGAAAACATTAGCTCTTCAAAAAAATAGAAATCACAAGTACTATACGGCTGAACTTTTATACTCAAGGGTTCAACACATTTTTTAGTGCTAATAACAGTATTGATCGCTAACGTTTATTGAATTTATCAAACATTTACTGTGTGTGGACACTGTTCTATGTACAGTATTGTATTTTCTTATTAAATGCTTACAACAATCTATAAGGTAGGAATCATTCTCTTTCCAGTTTTACTATTAAGGTAACTGGACCACAAGGAGGTCAAGAATTTGCCCAAGGTCACACAGCTAGGATGTGGCAGATGGGAGCTACCTACAAAAGCAGTCTTAATCCAGAACCCATGCTCTTGCTCCCAACACTAATTCATCTTCCTCGTTTGTTCATAACCTTAGTCAGAGTTGCAAAATAATATTCTTTTTAAAAGTAAAATTGAAGACATCTGGGAACCATTTGTAAGTTTTATAGCTCTATTTGGACACTATTTGGGTTGCTGCTTCCTTCTCTGGTAACTCTTCTCTACTCTCCTTCCTTCCGTATGGCTAGAGTGGGAGCACCAATTTGACCTGTCTCCTACACCACCATTTTTTGATCCATGGGTGGGCATCTGACTCAAGATAAGCCACCAAGACCTTTTCCAGAATGTACAGAGTTGGTTGAGATTACAGTTTTAGCCTGGCTATCTTATTAAAGAATGAACACGTAAACTTGGAAGCTAGTAGCAGTGGCTGTTTTCTATCACATGGACAAGATAAGAGAGAAAACTGGTATCAGTGAAAGAAAAATAAAGTAAGACTTCACAGAAAAGCAGCGGATAGAAGGCAAAACCGGCCCCAGTTCTTTCCGTTCCCTCTCCTGGATACAACTCCCTCCACAGGATGCCTTGCAAATCTTTCTATCAAGAGGCAGAGCTTAGTGTCGCATGTCTTGAATCTGGGCTGGACTTATGACTTGGTGAAAGTGCCTGAGTGCCAGTTTCAAGCCTGGATCACAAAAAGCCTTGCACGTTTTCACTTTTTCTCTTTCGCCCATCCACTCCCTGAGAACATACTTGTTAGCTTACTGGGATGGTAAGAAAGATCAGATGCCCCATCCAAGGCCTTCCTAACAAAGCCAGCTCCTAACTAACACACCAGCTGACCAAAGAGACATTTAAAAACCAGGCCCAAATGAACAGAACTACCCAACCACCCCATAGTCTCATGATTGTTATTATGAACCTCTAAGTCTAGGGTTATTGTTATACAACACTAAGTCTTGGTTAGTTAGACAGCATTAGCTGACTGACACAGGTCCCCGCACTGTTTCCATCCATGGTTCTGGAGCCTGGATATATCCCAGCACTAAAGTTCCATGGCTCATACTTGTGTTCTTATAATAAATTTTTCAGTTTGTCTTATTTCCTCAACTGAGGTGTGTATTTTTTGTTGTTGTTTTGTTTGTTTGTTGTTGGTTTATTTATTGTTGTTGTTTTTGCAACCAAAAGAATCCTAACTACGTTTTTCTGGGGTCTAAGGATAGCAGGGACAACATCTTACTCTTACAGAATCCCGTAAGAGGTACCCAGATCTGTGACAGGGTGCCTCAAGGATACTGGGTAGGGGAAAGAAGGGGTCTGTTAATCAGCTTCGAGTCAAGAAAACAAAAACCAAGTCAAATATTCCAATCAGAAGAAATTCAATTCAAGCAATTGGTTATGAAAGTAATGGAAGAGAGAAAACAGGGAATTAGAAGAGGGGGAGGGTGAAAAGCAAGAAGAATATATCCAAAGACTAGAAACTGCCAATGCTCCTGAACCAGGGTTCCCCAGCCTGTACGTGTCACTCACGGCACTAAGACACTATTGCAGGCGGCTCTGGATCTGCTGATGAGGTGCTGCCTCCACCAGAAACGGAATTTTGGCAACACCGTTCCTGCAGTAAATTTCATCGTTGCTGCCTGAGACACTATCAGAAACCGAAAGGCAGAGATGAATCCCTCTCCCTCACTTTAGTTAGTGCCTCCGATTAATCACCCTAACCAGAAGCCTGCTGGCAAGGGGCCCTGGGAAATGTACCTTGCAGACTTGCAGCCCTCTAGAATATTCAAAGAACGAAGAAGAGCAAACAGACAAATGACCAGTACAGGGGAGGTACCAATAAACTTTAAGAGAAGTCTCTTGGAGGGTTGTTAAAGGATCCTCATGGTCAAACTAATGTAAAAAGAAGCTGAGCTACCTCCATTCAAGATCTTACAGAATTGGACAGGAGCATGTGAACAGCAGGTCTACTGCTAGCTGTGTGGACTGTGCAATGTCCCAGGGGCTCTAACAGAATCCTGTAACAGGGGAAGGGAAATCTAAAAAAAGGTTGGCAATGAATTTTTCCTTAACCCAGTAAAAGAGAAGTCAAGAAGATTAAATTTTATGTGGAGAAATATAACCATGTGGCATTTCTTGCAACCAGAGCTTTCAAATGAGAGTCATACACACTATAGAGTGGTGGAGTCCCAAGAAGCCTCATCATTCCACCTGCCATGGATGGGGAAGGAAAGCGGGAGAGTTAATGACATGCCCAAGGACTGCACAGCTGTCACAAAGCCAAGTGACTGACTTCTGAACTAGTCTTCCCAGTGGTCCATGGGTTAGAAATAGATATACCAGGAGCCCCACTCTGAATGTTCCAGTGTGTTTGAAGCCAATTTTCTATTTTGTTTTGTTGGTGGTAATGTTGGCAGTTTTAAAAAATTATATAACTAATGTAGGAATATACTCTCATTGCAACAATTTAAACCTATACATATGTCTAAAGCATGGAAATGGAGTCCCTCTCTGCCACTCTCACTCACAGTTAAGACCCTGCTCAGAGGAGTCAGCGTAAGAGCTGAGACACTAATCAAGGAACAAGAGCCTTGAACTTGTACCTTTACTGAAACTTGGCCAACTGAAACCTGGATGGAGAAGATAAAAGCCTACAAAACTGTCAAAGGAGTGAACTGGTTTCTATTGTTTGTTTGGTTTGTAGTATTGACTCTTCTTTTAGGGCAGACTGTTTCTTTGATCTGAAACTCCTGAATAGGCCATTTAATTATGTTAGTATTAAACTGATCCCTCATCTGAATAGAAGGTGTCTGAAATTGTGAGCCCCCCAAATTTGAATGTTTTAGTACAAAGAGGTTCACAAAGGAGGCTGCCTATATGGGTAAGCACACATATAGTGTTTAATGTTTAACAGGTATTATTCTGTTTGAGAGAAATGTTTTGCTTTATACAGTTGGCTTGAGATCTCACTACCCTAAAAATGCCAGTTATTCTTAGGGATAAGTGTTTGTATTTGTTTGTAGGCTTGCTGAGCTCTGAGAAACAGAAAACTTTGTTTGCTCTGGTTTTCTTCAGAGTCATGGCACATGTCAGTGCTGCTTTGAGGCACACGAGGTGGTTGGCAGCCTTCTGAGCACTGTGAGAGGGAAGGTCGCTTCACTCAGGCAATGGTGCCATTAATAATGGTGATGGTGAACGTGGACACAGGAGAGTCAGGCAGGGCAGGGAGGAAAGAAGGTGGTGGATACCTGCTGGAGATCAGAGCAGGCCTACTGCACAACAATTAGAAATAATCTGAGTATGAAATATTAATATGGGCCCAGTTTTCTTGTGTGTGTGAAATCATTTATTTATTTATTTATTTATTAAAGAGGGAGGAAGGAGAAGAGGGAGAGGGAGAGGGAGAGGGAGAGGGA